CCACTAAACTACTGTCAGAGATGTAAGAATAATTTGGTGATTCTTGTAAATTCCCACCCGCTTGACTATTTCAGATTGAGCATTACTGCCAAACTGCAACACAGGCACTCAGTTACAGCAAGGGTGCCAGTGGCCCACCTCTCCATTCTCACGCCGGAGCATCACTGACTGCAGCCTTCAGAATCTGATAGCAAAACAAGCATCGGCATATGTGAGCCATCAGTTAGTGGTTTGCGCTGTTTCAATACGAGGTCGGGTTCTCTCAGGCAGCAACCTAATTTGGGGAAGATTGCACACGGTTCCGTGGCAAAAACTCTGAGGCCACTGCAACTTTTGAAGGGAAGCTCGGCCTGTGGAAGGGACGGGCAAGCATTGTAGCATGATCTAGTTCTAAGGTTCTCAGGCCAATATTTGTGGCCAAAGAAAGGTAGCATTCAATAGTAGTATGCTTCGAGCTCTATATAGTTACAAGATTACATACAAGATTACAATTGATACTTCAGTGTCAGGACATGATATCAAATGATGTGAGTGATGTGAGGTGTGCAATCGCCTTCGCTGCCCTGTGCGAAGTTCTCCCTGAACTCCTGGCTTGAGCTTCCAACTCAGCCCGCAAAGTGAGGCGGAGTGAGGCTGCATAGCGCAGTCACACGACACCGCAACACCCCATTCTAGTGAACAAACCTACTGTAGAATTTGTCTGTTGCTTCAGCGGGTCCAAGTTCTGGACATTCGGCTCGACATCATGTCCTTTCAGCTCTTAAGAGGATAGGGTAGTTGCTTGGCTATAGCTACACCCGCATGATCTGTTCCATTGTGTTCTAGCCTGCTGTCACCAAGGCCCTACAGGTACTTGTAGACTGAACCTGCTTCATCCCCCGTCTCGCCGCAACGCCTGAATGCTTCCAGCACAGTCAGGCTCCACCTCACGACAGTTAGTCGGACTTTATGCTGGAAATTTGGTGAGAAGCCTTCCTCGCAGTGATCTTGCTAAGACTGACTCTCGTCTCGAGCTCATTTCGGAACAGCTTTAATTGGGCACCGCAAAATGGCCTTCTAGGATACCGATCACATTGCCGTTCTGGTGACAACCCCCCTGTGGTGACCACTAGACAATGCATAAGGCTCCGGCAAACTCCAAGATTGAATGCAAATCATCCAAAGAGTTCCTTGAGTCATGAGGATGTCCAAGGATGTCCAAGGTGCATCCTCCCAAGTACCAACAAATCCACCTTTTGGGTGACCTCCTCGTCACCGTACTGCGACCGAACTTCTGTACAGTCAAGCAATCAAAACTCGTGAGGGTTTCCATTGGAGATTGTCTGAGTACATCTGAGTACACTACCTCCCAAGTCGTGGGTGTTGGATGGAATGCACCATGCTCGGAACGACTTGACCGTTGAGCTGACCGTTGAACCGATCTTGCTGGGACCTGGCCAAGTGGCTCGATGGGCGACCCAGTCAAAGCCAAGCGATACGGCACATGAGAAAGGCCTGAGATCAGCATAGACCCGAGTTCTACAAAACACTTGCAGCGCCAACCCGCCAGATTTCCTCAGCACCGTCACCTTTAGGGCCGCGACACGCGCGTTCCCTCGCCCGATCGACCGGGTGTTTTCATATCGAGCTCCAGGCGCTTGACGGCGTGGGCGGTTTGGGAACCGTGGTTCTTGATGGTCTGAGCCTCCACTCTCTGAGAGAGTATCAAGCTTCAATCATGCAGCGCCTTCCTTTTAGATGTTCAACCGCTGGAACTCACAGGCCTTACACCTCAGGTATAAGATGGTATAAGTATATTATACCATATTGATAGGACTCCAAAGGGATGGTACCAGTGGGCATAGAGTCTTAGAGCTTCTTGGTTGATCTTTTGCACGCTTGGCATCAGCCTGTGGCCGGGCCCTCCTTCCCTGCCTCATCCAAGACCACACAGCTCCAACCTGATGCGTCGCTCGGAATGGGCTCGAACCCAAACGATCAAGCTTGGATCTTGGATAAATGTGAAATCATTTGACATCTTATCTCATCAAATTACCAGCTGCCAAGCCAACAGCACCCGTAAGCCCGTACTGGGCATCAACACTCCAAGGCTGCACATGGCTACACAATGTCGATATTGTCTGTTGTCAGACTTGCTCATTTCTAGGTAGGGCTGAAAATCACTTGAGCGACACCAGGGCAGGTCCAGCGCAGTGAGTGCAGCTGATACATGCCAGGGTTTGCACAGTATGAGAGAACTGGACTGCAATAAAGCTGACTAGCCATCCCACTGTGATATCGACGTCGAATCTAAGTGCGCCAGGGCAGCTCTCTTGCAGGAACTTGTCTTGATTCTGCAGAAAGCTCTCCTAACAGTCCGGAAGATCAGGAGCAAACTTCCAATGTTCTGCTTTAAAGCCGAAGGGATCGGGGACCGGGTGGCCTTCCACTGTTTCACCGGGTGGCCTTCCACTCTGCGGCCTCTGCTCCCAAACCGCCCCCCCCGTTGCGCTGAGATGGTGGGCGTAACTCGTTAGGACCACGTCGTAGAGCTGCACGATGGGACCTCGGCGACCACGAGATCTCGTCACCTCCCTGAGGCGGACCCATAGCCATAGCGGACCCATCAGAACCTAAGATCTGCTTCTTCCAGGGGCTAGGACGGGGGGGAACCTTGAAGCCTTGTGTTTGACACACATGCCGCAACTGGAAGCGACGCGAACCGAGGTGCAAGAACCGTTTTTGTACAGCACAAAGCTGAATTGAAGCCGTCTCAGAGCCTCACCCTTCCACTGGGCAGTGTTCACCTACAGGTCGCACTCAAGTGCCACTGCCTTCTACATCCATATGCGTGCAAAAGGTCTTGACTAAAAGCCCACATCTTTGCTACACAAGAAGTCCTCGCTTTGTTTTTGCTTAAGTCCCTCCATTAAACAATTCCTAAATTGCATTCTTTTTAAATCACTGTTTTGTTCCCCTCAAGAGGGCACAGTGTCTCGGACGATTCTCCTCCAGGCTTTAGCCCCTCTGCTGACTTGGGTGCCTCGTACTGCATATCGATGGCGCGCTCGCCATGCCACGTCCAGACCTGCCAAGGTCCACATGTGACTGTATAGATCAATCAGCTGTTGAGGCCTGGAGATGCCTGGAGTACAAAGGTCTCGATACATATTTACATCAAAAAAGGAAGATTTCAAGGCACGTGATGGAGACTGTGGGCATGGGAGACACATCAAGTGGCAGGCCTTGAGATCTTCCTGCCACTGTGCAGCGACCTGATCAAGGAGTGCAAGCAACTCAAGACAGATTTGATCTGTTCAATGGACATGGAGGGCGGTCCGGGTAAGCCAACCATTGGGAGTAGCATGAGCACTATGCTAGAAGATGCTACCATTCAACATATTCAATCCACGTTCAAATCCGCTTATCAACAAGTTCGTAAACATGAGGCATCGTGTCAAGCAAGCTTTGCTGCTAGGCGGCATAGTTGATGGCATGGACGACCAGTTTAGAGTAAGCGGCAAATGCACCCTTCTTTCCAGGTCCACCAACAAAACGCCGACTGCATGACACTCAAGTCGCTTGTCACTTGTGGCACACAAGTACAGTACTTCTGCAAGTCATGGTAGTCTTTCACGGACTTCAACTTCGATAAAACTGATGGCCCGACCTCTCTCAGCTCACGTTGCCAAACGCTCTGCTCACCTTGCTCCAGGCATGTCGGCACGTCGAAACGAACCGCTACTACTTAGTAAAGATCCCCCTTACTTAGAACACCTTCCGGTGAAAGTCACCATCTGTTTCGATGGTTTTGATGGCCGGAGGCGCTGTCACAACATCCCAAGTCTTAGACTGGCCGTTAGCCGTTGCACCGTCAATCCGAGTTTGAGCTGCCTCTCACCAGCATCGCGGGAGCCAGGACCTTGGAATCGGCAACATGGCTATGAGGACGTTCCGTGGCCCAGCATGTCGGCAAAGATTGGCAGGCGAAACGTCACAGCCAAATTCTGCCGGACAAATTCTGAAACCGAGCCACGAAACCCAGATGCACCCCCAACTCTGATCACCTCTCATGGACAAACGTCATCCAAACTGAGTGTCCAAACCAAGGCCCTTTGCCAGGCCGAACCCTTGAGGCTGGGGGCCTGAAGGGCCGAGAATCGCCCCACTGTGAATGGAGACTGCAAGCAAAGAGCCTGGGGAAGCTCCAATCAACATGGGCCCGCCAGTGCAGTCACCAACTGTGTTTGAGCATGTTTTAGCCAACAGGCTCCTTTATCAAAGGATTTTTAGCTTGGGCCACGACTGGCCGTTGAAACACCATGAAACTCTTCCCGTTCATGCTCTTTCCGTGCACTAGCCCTCAAGTCTCAGCATCATTGGCGAACAAACCACAATGATTCCACATGATGGAAGTCAAATAACATTGGGATCAGCAAACCTTGAGGTCGTCTGAGCGTCTTATGAGCAAGTAAAGAAACATAACCAGTCCGCAAACGCCCTGATGGTGGCTGCTTCGGCTGCTTCACCTCATCCGTTTTTCCTCCAAGCCAGTTTTTGCTGGGCACTCTGCGGCGCCCTTGGGGCACAGCATGTCCAAACTGAGGCTCCGCTCTCAATCACAATGTTCAGTGTCAATACGCATACATGTAGCCGAAACACCGGCTCTAAATGGGTCTCTTCAAAGCGCAGGTGGCTGACAGCATCTGGGAATCAGCAGCAACCTTGAGGGCTGTAAACCAATGTAATTAATGTAATGCAGCACGAACGACAATGGGACGTCGTTCTATCTAGGAACCTCGTTTTGTAGACCATTGACCTGATATCTTGATGACTATCTTGATGATTCTTGATGGAGTGCTCGAACCATGTGAGAGAGTCAGCCTGTCGCCTGTCAACACGGCACTAACTCGCACACCGCCCGAGTCCGGCCCGAGGCCGTGGAGGTACCGGCGGAGTCGTTGAAAGGAAGGCGTCCACAAGGTTCACCTGTGAAAGTATGTGTTCTTTTATTTTCTTCTCTCCGGTCGATCGTATCCACAGGCCCGAACACAACAGGGACGGCGTGCTAACCAAGTTTGCCCTCCAATTAGTGGCACTGAAAAAGTCCATGTTGCCTCCTTTAAGGAGAGCATCGTGCCAACGAGGCGTGGCTAAAGAACAAGCCCACGTCAGCCTGTCAGCCGTCGTCCCGAACTCAGAAACCTGCTCAAAAAGTATATAACTGTACATGCTCAGGTCGCCTGGGCCTATTCGGACTCGTCTTCATCCTCGTCACTTTCATCACTACCAACATCATAGAGCACGTGCTTGCTCTCAGCATGAGCTTGCCTGCGCCTGCACAGTTCCACGCTCTCAAGGGTGCAGGATGCGGAACTGCTACCGAGTCTATCACTGCCCATGTGCGTACATCGCGTACATTGAACTATGAGGGAACACAGCTGGCCAAAGGATGGCTCTTCATTCATCCTTCATCCATCTCGGTATGAGCTTGTTGAATGTCATCACAATAAATACCTATACACAAATGTACATAGGTGAGGATGGAAAATGATGGAAACATGAGAATAAGATAGAATAAGTGTGTTTTCTACGGCCTTTGTACACCTGGCTTAGAAAGTCCAGCCCAAGCCTGGCTTAGAATAACAGGTGGTCTGGGTGGTCCTTTAATCCCCAGTACTCAGCACATTTAAAAGTACAAGGATCAATCGGCTCAACAGGGCTCAACAGGTGGTACTAACGAATCACGAAATGGGCCGGGCACTGTAATACACGTCCGGATGAGGGCCCCGCTGCACCTTTGAAAAAGCACGTCCTCCAAGTCAAGTAACTCGAAAACCGCACTCAACCACTACTCCCAAGTGAACCAGTGTCCCGGCCATCTGCGCCTGGCGCGTCTGGGGGTCTTGTGAACAGCAGGAAGTGAAATCGGATTTGAACGAAGGCCTCAGAGACACAAGACCTGAAACAGCTGAACTTCACCTTGTCAAGTTCATGCGCGAAACAGCCGAAGATGTTTTGCAGTACCCGGTCAAGCCGAACAGTGGCGACCCATGTGGCCAAGCCGCTCGTCATTGCCAAGCTTCGGGGAGAAGGGAGCTGATCAACTGGAAGAGCTTCAGGTTCTGATCGACCGGAAGAGCTGCACAATTCAACGCGATGCGTTACGCAATCCACCTCTAATCTATCTCCGCTATGCATCCCCATGCCTTTTAACCATCCTGACATCGCTGACAAAATTATCAAATGTGTGCCTACCAGCACTGAAGTTTCAAGAGGTTCACTCAGCAACTCTTGGCCAAGGGACCTTCATTGAGCTTCGGTGGATTTTCCATGTAAGACTTCACTCTCTCCCGCACCTTGGCCGCTGAGTGGCGTGTTTATTTTCGTATTTTTGGGGTGGCCAAGGCGGGCACACACACATCCAAAAGAGTGACAGGAGCACAAAAACTGAAAAAAGTCTCAGCGGCACAACTGCAATTCCAAGAAACATGTGGCCAGCCATAGGATTCTTGCTCTTGCAAGACGGCTTGTGCTTTCGCGTCCTGGGGTGGCATCCAGTACAGCCCCTTGTGTCATCTTGTCTCATTGCTTAGAAGAGCAACAGCTTAGAATCTGGAACAGGACGTCCATTTACATCATTTACCATCCATTTGCCTCTGTGTTCAACACCCCGATCAGCCAACTCGATTGGGCCACACATGCATAGCAGCAGCACAGTTGATGTGCTAGCCACTGCAATTTCGGCGCTCCTGTGGGAAGTAGGCCATCAGCAATTTGCAACCCATCACGGTTGCCTCATCACCTGTGATCCAACCCCCCTCTGCGCAGGTCTGCAGGGCTTTGCAAGTCCTCAAGTACAAATTTCTACAAATATGTTGATTTTGATATGAAATGACTATAAATGGACTAAGTGACCATACACATCTATACACTGCTGCGATCACGTAGATATTCTCACCATATGTGGCCATGGTTGCTCCCAAAACCTGGTGGGCATGGATGTCGTCCAAGGCACGTCGCTCTTCTGCCAGCTCGAGCAGTGCAGTCAAGAGCCCCTCCTGAATCTTGAGATGTTTCTCCGAAATCAAAAGCCGAAATAACACGAATGTGTTATGTGTTGTTATGAATTGAGGTTACATAATTCTGCAGTGTTGGTTGGAGTGGGTTACTTGAGAGATACTCCGTGATACTCCAAAAACAAGTCTGTGAATTCGAACTGTTTGGGCGTTCATGATTTTCAGCAAACCACATTTGGCAACTGTTCCATCACCATGATCTCCTATATATTATCCTCTCTTCCTGGAAGTGGAGCTTTGCAAAGATCATTGTTCAATCTTCTTACCCCATAAATATGTGCGAACGACGAGCCGCAGTATGTTCATCTGAAGCCATACATGTTGAGGCACTTCCACATACCTTTCTACAAAATCACATGATGCTATACCTCCAAATGAATTTTCGTCTCCTGTCGTCACGGGGGAACACCAATCTTTCTGCCAACATGGGTTGAGAAACGAACCGACATCTTGAGACCTTCGTAAATGCTAGGAGTACTGAGTTACTGTGAACTCAAAACAAATATCAACTTATCATAACTTATCATCTACAGTAATGAAATCCACCTAGGACCTATTGGGACCTCCTTCGCCACCTGCTTTTTTGGTGTCCCGGACGAGTCTCCTGGAGCATCTCAGAGACCTTGGCAGCCATAGCCCAGTTAGCCACCACCGCCTCAAGCACCTGACTGAGAGCTCTGAGGACTTTGGTGAGTTTGGGTGAGTTTAATTTGCCAATTAGGGTAGGTGGCAGGTGGTCCTTGCAGGACGGCTTTCAAAATTTCTTTCAGCATTTGGATTGCATTTGGCTGTTTCCAGAGGTGAAATGGTCCCCACGAAGGAGAAGATATTGGATGCAGCAGTCAAAGATAGCTCGGCTGCCGCATTGATGCATACGGCCACGACAAACAGGTCAGTGACGAAGCACCAAACATCACCAAACCAACGAACGAAACATAGTGCTACATGTTCAGTGGAGCGGCCCCCCCAGCCCTTTACCACTTCACCTTCGTCGCATCTGCCAGGGTGTCGTGCACATGGCGCCAGTTGGAAGCTTCACCTGCGGTGATGCGCGGACCGTTCAGCCGCGCACGGCGGAGGCTGTTATCCATAATGATCCACTTGGGGTCTCTGATCCCTCTTAGTAGTGTCCATGTTCCTAGTAGTAAGACCAGGAGCCCCGTTCGTAGCGTCCGATCGCTCCGTTCGTAGCGTCCATGTTCTTGGTTTCTGATGGTTTCTTGGACCCGGATGCACCGTCGGTGCATCGAACCATATCGAACCTACCTGAGCTGTCGGCGTTTGGACGTTTCGCAGGGTCGGACATGGGGAAGGGCTTCGTGAGGCGCACTGCACAACAGAGGCTTCACGAATTGGCGTTGCCTGTGCGAAATCCGAGAGCCTAAGCCAGGGGCTCTGCGAGCCTTTGCCACAAATAATGTATCACACAAACTGTTTCGCAAACATTTGGTGAGTTATAGTTATAGTCTACTAATCTAACCCTTATCATTCAAAAACAAGTGCGCTATTCTACTGAGACTTCATAAGATTGGACATGTTCTGACAACTCCGATTTGATATAATTGAGCAGTCTTGTTCACAGTTCACCTATTAATTATATATATTTATATATATACAGTAAGAGTAGAACACAGGAAAACATGAGAAGGGTAAACGACTGTTGCCCACGTGAAGTCGCTGTCCCATTCGGCCAAGGATCGCAGCAAGAAGCATTCCTTCTTAAAGGCATTGGTCAAGGTGCCAACCACGGTATCCGCCTCAAAGGGCAAAGACCCAGTAAGGTTCCAAGAAAGCAACATGATACAACATGTATCCAAGCTGTAGGAGGTCATTTTTTCGGCCGCGAGCGAGACCGCGAGCGAGACCGCGTCCTGATATTATGCAGCTCTAATTGTTGCAATTGCAGGACAATTTTGGACTACTTTAAGATATCTTCATTCAAAAAATAGAAGAAAACGAATGGTCTTGCATGTGCCATGAATGACATCTTGAAGTCTCTAGATGAACACACTGAAGAGTATACCGTAACATCCGTACACACCTTAGGGCCAGGCATGCTTCTGGACCCATGCAACGTGAGGATGTTCCGGATCCTGGAGCCTTGCCACACGGGGCTGCCATGCTTCGTGCATGCAAAGACTTCGAAGCCGATCGAAACCTATTCTGCTGTTGGCCTCCTACTAGCACCATCTAGCAATCACATGTGCACATTGAGATCTTCTCTTATTGACCACGTGGGGGTAGCTCGGCTCAACGTCTCGACTTGAACCTCTGGCTTACTCAGCATCCAAGCAACGCCAGAAGCAGGAGGCTGCAGAAGGCTCGTACCCTGGCCGGGTGGAAATGGGCTGTTGGGGTGGATATGGGCGGATGACATCGACATGCCCTTCCATCTGGCAAAACAAAGTATATATGCAGCAACGTCGCATCATTACCATTGATACTCATCCCCCTTGGAATTAAGTGGGGAGGTCATGATCCCCAATTCTATAGACATAAAGCGGTGCACCTAACCTCCATTGATGGGGGTCCCTTTATAGAATTAGAGACCACAAGGTCTATTCAAAGACACCTCTCTATAGAATTCAGATCCAACAGGCTTCAAGATGCATGATTCTTGACATGTCTGACCTATAGAATTACCAGCACCCGATAGGTACATGTTATCTCCCAATTGATCTCCTGATGAGTTATCTCCCAATTACCTTACCTTTTTCGCTTCGTTGGACGGGATTCTTCCTGACTTGTTCCGCCCCAACGGTCAGCGTGCCGGCACCGAGGTCAGCTATCCCAGTCGGCGTCCGGACTGGCAGGCGAATCGCCTCTTTCGACTGACCGAGAGGCGCCTCTCTATCAGTTCCTCCACTTCCACCTTTCGCTCCACCCAGATGATGGTGGTGATTCCTAGGGGCAGAGTCAGAGTCTCTGTGGCACGGCATGGCTTGGTTTCTGGACCTTCGTTCGACAATAGACGGACGCCCCGGAGCCATAGGCTTGTCATTCACAAGTCGTTGTTTGTGCCTGAACATCCCAGAACTTGCACGGCAACGCCAACCGCTCTTCAGGCAAACTAGGGAGAGATATATAATTCAAGCAGTTTTGGGGTGTCTATGCACCAAGTCAGGTTTACGCTCTTCAGTCATAAGTTCAATTGCCGCAAAATCCATCATTTGCCAGCCAAAGTCTCCACGTGCCTCAATTGGTGTTTGTACCCATCTTTGCCCCGGCTGTTTGTACGTTCTACTCCCTGAGTCTTCGCCCTGCGGACCAATTCGCTTGTGCCGCACTGGACGAACTCCGGCACCCCCAGTCTCCGACCCGTCATGTATATATAGTAAGTATATGATAGTATGATATATAGTATGTAATGTCCTACGTAGGATGATCTACTGCTTTCCGGCATCTCAAGGTCATGACAATGTCATCGTTGTTGGGTTTATACATTAGATGCTTTAGACCAAAAGAACACCTCCGACAAGCCCAGCAGCGCTCTTGCCACATGGAGGTCAAACTCCGAGCAGCCAACTGAGCGCTTTTGCCGCGTCCCGGGATAAAGCAACTCGCCACCCCCCGCATGGGAACCCTTACAGCCGAGCAAAACATCAGAATCTTGAAGCTGTAGAAATCCCTTCTGATGCAAAAACAATCAAACACCAATCGCCTGTTGGCTAAGTCTTGGATGGTCCACTGATTCTAATCTTTGCACTTGCTGCACGCTTGACAACACCAGGTGCTCTTATTGTCCATGATCCCCAAAAACAGTAACAACATGTAACAAGCAGGTTCGGTTTAATGAACACCACCCTTTCCCCTCGTCTCATTTCAACCCGATTTCTGACATCATCCCGATTTCTATCAGAGTCTTTCTGCCAGGGATGAGAGGGCCCGGTGACCTACGGCCCCTCGTCATTCAGAGCCCACAAAAACAAGCTGAGACTCAGTTCTTCATAGCTTTCCTTTCCCTTGGCATTATATACTACTAGCTTCTTGAAGAATCTACTAGGTGGAGGCCAATGCTATTATTAGGTTGGATACCATCGCTACGAACGTAACAAGAAGCCACTAGTCACGACCATCGCTCCTGAATACGCCGACAGCACCGTGGCCGGGCCTGGTCGAAGCGGCCGTCCAACTCCAAGAAGTGGTCGAAGACTCGAACGAACTCCACCGCAGAGAACTCTTGACGAATACCATAGACCTAGAAGTGAGAGGACGACAACAATGAGGAGCAGTTGAAGTTCAATAGATAAATATTTTTTGGGGGGGCAGCAGTTGAGCTTGCAAATCAGAGATGGCCCGGCGATGGTGCTAGGAGGCTTTCAGGGACTCTGGCATTGATAAAGGCAGATATGGGAACGAGCTAGTTCACAACTACTGAACCCGCCATTGGAGGGAGCAATGCTTCTCAAGCTGGTGCAAACTGGCCAAGCTACTCGATGTCTTTTGCCTCCGTTCTCCTCTCCAGGTCCCTGGCGACTTCAAACTTTCTGTCACCTTTCGATTCCCGGTCATTCCATGCGAGTAGAAACAAACAACCCACTGGAATGGTGCAATGCCTATGTAAAGCAACTTGCCAAGCTGGAACAGCACCGCAGCATCGCACAATATCACACCTCCCATCGAGAGTAGAAGAAGTTCTTAGAGTTCTTCAAGCGATCATCTAGCTTCGCAAAGCTGTAGGCCTTGGCAAAATGTGCGCAGCTTTAAAGGAGTGGCTGTTTTTTTTGGTGCCAAGATCGGGTGCAAGAAAGAGAACGATCGGTTCCTCCACCAAACATCCACATCGTCGAGTCGAGGCACCGCTTTCTTGCATTTGGCCAGCACATCATGTGCTTCTTGCCTTAATTAAGAAGCTGCCGGCAGCAAAGGACAAATATCTGGCTGTCTGATGGCTTTAAACCTTGCAGCCGTTGGTCCTGACCTGACCTGCAACAAAACATCTGTGACAAGCTGATGCCGTGTGGAGACCAAAACACAAACCGTTGTTCTTCACCTGGCACATGCTTCAGACATACACTCTCCGCTGAAAAGGCATTTCTGAGTGACTTTCTATTGCACAAGTACCATCCAACATCATCCAACAGTCATCAACAGTCCAGTCTCGACTGACCGAGCCCTGCTCCCAATGGTCCTGATTCATTTTGCTAAGACTCCAATGTGGCTTCAGTTTTGGGAAGGCCTCCTGGGCACAGTGGCACACACGCTTCGGCACAAGTTTCAGGAATTAACGAATGAGCCTTGTACGGTACTGAATCAACGTCTGACCGCCCTGACCCGTTTCATTGGCACAGGACAAAAGAAATACCTGTAAAAGACCATCAATAGGCCACATCAAAAGAAATAAGTGCAAAAATGGCTGAAGTCTAAGTGGCGCCATTTCTTTTCGCCTTGACCGGCCACTCCCTGGGCACCACTCCCGAGCCGTGCGCAGCTGCTCTTCGACTCCTTCAGTCCAAGCATCCCTCTCGGCCGTTCGATACAGCCAGACGTTGTTCACCTCCTCCTGGCTAGCCGATCAAGCCGCTCAAGCCCCAAAGAAAGGCTCCACAGCAAGCCGCAAGCCGCTCTGGGCAGATAGTCTCAAGATCCATGGCTTTGCACATGTTTTTCCCTTTGCATGTCAATGAAAGTTGTTGAACATGTAGAAAAAAAGCCCATGCCGCACCCTTTCTCCGGTTTCTTCGGCCGGTTTCGGGCTCATTCTCTCTTTCTCTCCTCGTCCAGAACGTCTTGCTCAGGGCTCCAGTCGAAGTATGAGTGTCGCATGCCACTGTCCTCCCAAGTCTCGGTCGCTCCCGAGAGTCCCCCTCACCTGCCGCCGTTTGCGGCCCAGCCTGCAGCCCACGACAGCTACGAGTAGTCTACGAGTAGTCTAGCTAAGGACCTGGAGAAGCACACACCATTGAGCAGCGTAGATAAAGTCTTCCCAAAGACTCACAGAATGTCTTTGATTTCCTTTGGCGGGCCGTTCGGCACCAACGGTCCTTCAAAGCTTGGTTGTATTTTCGCCTTGCAGCTGCAGACACCTGTGCTGCGCGACTGATCAGCCGTGGCAGTGGAAAACACACCAAAACACCCTTCAGCCTCGTCGACCCTCATCTGAAAGACTCAAGATCTAATTGAGAGAATTGTCCAATCAATTCTAATCATGGCCAGGTTCAGTGTCACCAGCATCTCTCACATCCAAATCCCAATCTTCCATCATCCAATCTTCCTAAAAAGCAAGGGAATCCAAGGGAGTCATGGACGCGCGGTCGGTCCGCCTTAGCGATGGCTAGCATGATGACCTTCCCCAAAACTTTGGGGCTGATCTCCAGCGATCCTTCTGGCAGACTAAGACCATCCTCCAGTGCGTTGAAGGAGAAGAACTCCATCTCTGCCTCACCTCGACACACTCGACACGCCACGTCTGGAGATGGAAGAGCCTTCCATTGGACTTGCGAGGAAAGGACGCCTCTGGACTTAAGAAAGGCTTCGGGAGGATGGACAAAAAGCAGCACACAGTCATACCAGTAGCTCTTGATGCTCAAAGTGGTTCCACTTCAAACGCCTCTGCTCCCACATGGCAGCCAAGCAACACCATTCTGGCAGCTCTTGCCCTTCGCCCACCATAGCTGTTACAGCTTGGTCGCTATTCGTTATCCTCACGTCCCCGCGTGCGATTTGCCAGCGAGTTAAACTGATCGGGACAAGGCCTGGGGTCTTAGGCGTCGGTTTCCTA